TCTGTAAATGGAGTGGTGTCCTGTGGTACATCAGCACCGTCTGTAAATGGAGTGGTGTCCTGTGGTACATCAGCATCGTCTGTAAATGGAGTGGTGTCCTGTGGTACATCAGCACCGTCTGTAAATGGATTGGTGTCCTGTGGTACATCAGCACCGTCTGTAAATGGAGTGGTGTCCTGTGGTACATTAGCACCGTCTGTAAATGGAGTGGTGTCCTGTGGTACATCAGCATCGTCTATGTCCTCTGCTAAAACTGAGTCGGGCACATGTAAAACGTTCCATCACAGAAGAGATTGTCGGCGTAAGGTGTTAAGATTCATTATTATCAACTAGAAATATCAGTGGACCCATTCCATATGGGTTTATCAAATAGAAATTAAACTAATGATTATGTTTTAGGGGAAAATAATCAAATTAGTGATACTCAGTTATTAATAATTACACTGAAGACGAATTTATTGGTAAAAAAAAAGATTCTCTGAAAATAATGCTCCATTATGAATTTACTTCACCCTAAATTAAATCAATCTAAATTTGAATTTAAAAAAAAAATACATTAATCAAAGCATTAGCATCTAAATATATACTATTAAGTATATAAAATATATAAAATATTTGTGGATTTCGCGTAATAGTTTTGTATGATCTAGCTGATGAAAATGGTATATGATATGGCTAAAAAGGATGAAAATAGACTATACACAATCTGTATATATGTATATGACAGTACTATATATATATATGTTACAGATAATGTGGGAGAACACAGGTAAAAAACAGGTAAAATATACATGAAACAGACTATAACTGCTATCACAACATTACTGCCTTTATGTGTTTTTAAAAAGTGGGAGAAAGGAGAACACACCCCTCATATTCATAGTCCGTTCCAAATGTCCAGTTTGACCACTTGAATTGTTCGGGAAAGCCCTGCTTAAAATAGCGCCGATAACGTCACCTGACTAGGCAGGAAACGGTTTCCAAAGGGGCCCCCAGAGAGGGGCCGTCAGGCAACTGCAACCTCTTACCGCACTACGAAACCAAGTTATATGATTTCTAAGTCCGTATTCAAACTTATTGAACAGCAAGTATTCATCATTAGAAGTTAATTGCACACTTGCCAATGTTCAGAATTTAAATTTATTTAGCTTTAAACATAAATTTGTTGCCAATAAAATTAAAACAAGTTTTTTTACAATTTATCACAGCTAGCCTTCTCCCGTCATACATTTACAATTAAATGTCAACAATGATAATAGGCATAAACATATAGTAGATATATTTAAATATATATTGAATTTAGTACCGGAATGTGGCCGGTACAGATGGTACGGGGCTAAACACCTTCCCTACACCAAGGGACAAACCTTTCTGATTTTTTTTTTTTTTTTTATATATTGCCGGGGCAGAGGAGGCCGGGTATTCATATTAGGACTAATTTAAATCTTGCATGTAAAAACAAAAAATAATCGTTTTATTCAGCAATATAATTAAATCATACCATTTTATTGAACCCGGTAATATTATAAATTATGTAAATCCACGGTCTTGGATCACACGTATCTCGGTGACCCAGAAAATACGCCGTGGGCCATCCCAACAGTTATCCCTTGGAGATGGCAAAATCAAACTAACCAGTCACTGATCCCTTCCTTTCGCATAAACCACTGTATAATTATAGAAACACAAAGTAAACTCTCTCCAATACATGCCCATCAACATAATGAACTAAGTTCATCTGTGTTCAAACTCAGACAAAGATACTAGCGAGCTTAATAGAACAGCACTAGCATTTCTGTCGATTCCATTTCAACAAGCCCCCCACAAACACAAAATGTGGGTGCCATGGATTCAGTAATGATTTACATAGTTTTCACCTCCTAGCAAGAAATCGAAATATACATGTCGAAAAATCACTAGTTGGACTTCAATTAGAGTGGTGCAATTTTGTATAAGGTACCATTAGATAACCATAATATGACGACAGAATAATATATAATCAAAGTATTGCTTTGCTAAAACTTTAACATGTCAATCTATTTCTTTGAAACACCAAATTCAAAACTTTACACCAAATATCAAAGTACATGTCAACAGCGAGGTCACACGGGCCTTAATTTGCGTCTAACAAGTTTATAAACCGCACATAGCAAGTGCAAACAAGGGTACCCTCATGTTTCGTGGGGGCCGCCATGTTGGATAACAGTTATTACTTGGTGTCGAAATTTCACATGGTGTTGTATTAATACCATAGGGCCATATCGTTTTTTCTCCACGTATTTCAATACTAAGCATATCCAGGCGTATACTGTATGTCCAAATAGGCAATCGGGTCTGCTATTCTCTTTATCTGCTTACTTTCACTTCACCAGTCATTGCGTGAAATTTGTTTACAAAATCGTTGTCTTCCCGCACTATTTCGTATTCCTTGGCCGTTATGAATGAGATATGTATTTTTGTGTTTACCAGGAACATGTCGACCAAATATATTTCAATGTTTATCAACACATAAACAAATATCTCTTACAACCAAAATTATGATTGATTTCGTTACTTCATGCAAAATACATGTTTCGTTTTTAGTGCAAAATTCTTTGCCCCGTGACTTCCGGTTTGGACGGTAAACACAACCGGTCTGCAGCCGGAGGGATTAATGAACTGTGGAGGGGGATCCGAAGATTGATCGAAACAACACTGTTGCGGCATTGAAACATCATGTGTTTATAACATTCAGGTAATTGGTTTGCAATGTGAACATTGCTCATATCTATTGTTTGATACTTTTTTACAGAGGTTACTGACAGTCTGTCATGTTGATTTCGTGTTCATTTCTAAGTATTAAAACATCAACTATTTATACTTTATTTTATTCCTGCATGTATTTAAATGTATGTCAATGCATAATAAAGCTACTTTAACAAATTACATTTGTAGTTAAAAAGTTATTTTACTCTGAGTGTTACCTCAGTCTACTACGGAAGCCAAGGTGCATAACATGTGGATATATCATCTGTATTGAAATCAAAACATATCTGTACTTTATTATCTTATTGCAAGATGCCGAGAAAAGGTGTTCGAAAGAAGAAATTTGGGTTAGGTTCTGGAGTACATACTGGGAAAAGGAAAATGTTAAGGGGCAAGGGTAGTGACAAGAGGTGCAAATCTGACAACACAGCACAACACTTTCAACACTGTGTTTCATCTGTTACTGGCAGGAAGAGAAAAATAACAACACTTTTGAAAACAGTGTTACTTAGTTACTTTTGCATAAATTTTCTACAATGTTTTGAAAACTACAGCCTGTAAAAGAATTGCTAGTTATTGCCTAATATTTTCTAAGTTCACACCAGGGTATTTTTAATACTTTCATTCTAAAATGTAAATGTAGAAAGGGAATTAAATTTGATTTTTATGCTGTTGAATATTGACCAAATATATAACTATGTATGTGTGTAAGATTTAGGTGATTGTAGAAAGGAGAAGAGGAATCATACAGGAATCGAAGGAGACGAGACATTGGAAATTTGAACACTGTGCATTGAACAGCAACTTCTGAAATACCAATTCAACAAGACCATAGCTTTGATGCAGTCATCATTCCATTGTAGAGGTAGGGATCATTAAATACATAAGCATAAATGTCTAAATAGCATTTGAAGTGATACGCGTTGACATATTGATTGACAATGAGAATAGCATGAGTATACAAAATATGGTATAACATTATTACAGCAAAATGGGTATTATTAGGCTAAATACAGAATAAAGGTGAACAAAATGATTTATTTTGTTACAAGGGAATGAGAACCAGAACCCACAATTAAATTTAATTGTGTTTTTTTCATGTGTGATTATATAGTTTAGAATTGGTAGTTTGGCCACGTTAGGCCTCCATATATTTGGAAAAGTAGTTCCAAAATGGCCATTTTTATCTTTCTGTAAACTCAGTCACTATGACATAAATGGCTGTATTGTACATG